CTCCTTTTCTCTCTGTCTCCCTCCAAAGCTACTATTTTTTTAACTAAAGCTTTTCCTCTTGCTGCTGCTTCAACATTTCTGTAACACTAACCCCTTTCTGGCTGGTCTTTCTTTTTTTGGCTTGAAAGCAGGCACAAGTAGATAGCTGTCTTTACCAAAGTATGTCTAAGGAGAATCTTCCCCTCCTGCCTTTTCCATCTCTGTTTGTTTGGGGAAGGCTCTAGTGAACTTCTGGTTTCTTCAGCCAGAATGTTGGCTATTATCAACAACGTTTGAACTCTGCAAGCATCAAACTTCCTTTTGCAGCTAAGGTTTGTTTTCTTTTCATATTTAGTGAATTCCTTGTATCTGAGCCTATCCCACCTATCCAAATGCCACTTGCGTACCGTAGTTATTCTTACTTGTTTTGGATATCCCGTATTTTTAGGGATATCTCACCTTTATCAAATTCTTTTAACTATACTCAATTTAGTTACTCGGCTGAAAACACAAAAGAGCCCATAACAACTCAGTTCCTAGAGAACAGACATAAGCACTTGCATATTCACCTTCACAGCTATTCATATTATGCCTACTATTATTTCTTGTGAGAACTCCTAGCGAAAAGTAGCTTGTAGCTGCTTCTAGGTTGCTTTACTTCCACCCACAAAGACACACCCTCCTTTTTCCTCCCCACGCCCAACTGTTTCCACAGCCAAACTTTTATAGGCAATTTTGCGTGCTGACGCTGTGGGAGGGCTTAATGGGGAAGCAAGTAGCACAGATGTGAGTAATCTTCAATTAATCTTCAATCTCTCTTTCCCTCCCCCCTCCCTCTCTCTCACACACACTCATTCACTCTAAAATATACCTTTATACCTAAAGTTATATAGTGCTGGTTTACCAGGGCCCATTCCAGGTAAAAATATGTTAAGAAAAAAAATACATAATCCTAGAATTATTGTATGCTTTAAGTCATTTAAAGTTCAACACCATGTTAGGCTGCAATTCCATATACAACTACCTAGAAACAAGGGCAGTGGAGCTTACTTCTGAGTAGACATGCATAGGGTTGTATTATTAATAGGAAGAATCCAGGAATCTAAATCTAACGACTTTTTGATATATTGTTAAATTGCAGCCCGTCTTGTGGTTCAAGGCAACTGGGTGGCCTACAGTGGGATAAAATAAATATCCAGACAATTATAAAAATGGATTAAAATTAGTAAAAATTCAAACTAAAAAAAGAACCTACCGATTTGGAGTAGAGGTGGGAGTGCCTTCTTTGATAGTGCACCAACCATCTCCTCCAGCCCATAGCTTTGCCTTCAGGACCCCATGCCAGCCAGCATAGCCTTAAGGCTTTTCCTTAAGGCTAAACAGGAACGGGAAGATCTTATTTTCTATGACAAGATATGGCAGAAAAGGCTTTTCTCTTTTATCCCAGCTGCTGAAATTCCTTAACTCATGGGATTTGCAGTAGGCATCTTCTGCCAGCATGAGTGGGGTAGTCCGATTCCATTGGGGAAAAGACAGTTCTGCAGATATCCAGGAGCCGTGGTAAAAAGGGTAAAGGTAATAACCTTGAGTTGTACACAGAGGCAGAGTAGCAGCCAGCACAGCTCACGAAATGGTGTTGCATGTGCCATCCTTGGAGCCTCCAAAACTACATATGCCACTGCATACCAAATACTTTTCAAGGGTAGCCCCACATAGAACCCATTACAATAATCCAAGTGAGAGATGACTAGGGCAAACCTTTTCAGCACCAAGTGCCCAAACCAGAACGCTTGTGCGTGTGAATGCATGTGTGCCTGCTGAAATATAAATCCAATAAACCAAACCAATACCAGAAACCCGAAGACCAGTTGGCTGGTGCACACATACCTGTTTTTTGGGCTGTTTTCGGGTCAGAAACGGCCTGAAAACAGCCCCCAAAATAGCCTGAAAATGGCCAGAAAAAAACCCAGAAATGGCCCAGAACCCACCCCCCAAAATCTAGAAGCAGCCCGCCCCCAAAATAGCCTGTTTTCCACCACTCCACCGCCCGTGAACACCAGCTGGCCAGTGCACTGGAAACCAGAAGAGCAGTTGGCGATGGCACCTGTGCCCACAGAGAGGGCTCTGCATGCCACAGGTTCGCCATCATGGGACTAGGGCATGAGTGACAGAGCCCATGGCCTCAGGTTCCAGGAAACACCACATGTTGTATGAAGTCTCTCATTTTGTTCAGAACGGTCTGCAAGCTGCTTCTAGAAGTGTCACATGCAGATTAAGAGTCAATGATTATTGCTGATATTCCTCAATAATCAGTGGCATTTTCTGAGCCAGACTTTTAGATGGTGACTCGTGGTCAGGAACAGGCTTCTCCTACAAATGATTTAAATTATTTCTAGTGGTTTTTACTACATTCAGTAGTAGTAGTAGTAGTAGTGAATTCCATTGATTAGCAATATATTATGATATGATATAGTAGCATTTCTTCTCTCTCCTGCCCAAAAGTTCTAAATTGGATCACTGTGTTCTGTTAGATACAAGAAGTAGCTAATGCTCACACGGAGATTCAACTGAACCAGTTTTCAGAAAGAAAAAGAGAACAGACTGTAAATAATAATTGCAGAAAATAGGGACAAAATGTAGCAATGTTCCTTCTCCCAAAAATGTGTAGAATTATTCCAGAATAATATCTAAGCGGCACAGTAACAAAAGCATATGGTTCACAAATGGGACCAGCCACAAATAACTGCATTATGAAGTGCTTTATTTAGGATGCTAAGCAAATGTGCCTTTCTCTTTGAAAATAACACTACTTTGCCACAGACTATTAGGTTGTACAATTAAGTAAGCATTCTCCAAAGGCTGCATCATGAAATGTTGTATAATTTCAGAAGGTGTGCTTTTTTTCTGCCAACCATGGGGACTTTTAGGCCTGAAGGATATTGTCCTCCTATGCATGGATGGATAGAGCCATGCTGAGAGCAGATTACCTGTAGTAAGAAGACTGGTAAAGGGCTACATAAGTGATCCTGCATATAGCAACAACTTTTTAAAATAAACAGACTGTTCACAAAATAGTGCAAATAAGGTGTTCTCACCTCTTTGATAATCAGAAACCTTTTATTGTGTTCATTTTCATGAACATCAGAGAGATGGTGAGTAAAATGCAGCTTCATTTGTGGAAATATCTATTTGATATTTATTATTTATTAAATATCATACCATAGTATAAAATAAACTCGCACCAGCTACTCTGCAGAGAATTAGTCCTAAACATACACATTATACAATTAGTTGAAAATATCAACTTGAACATTTTAATTTACTGCAACATCTTTTTAAATATTGAAAATCAGCTATGGAATACCCTGAGATTGTATTTCTCCATTATTTGGTGGGCAGGTCTGCCCTGTATCAAGTATGCCAGTGAAGTTATCATTTTCAATGCCAATTGCTTGATTGTAGTGCAAAACACACATGTGGTAAGAAGACACATCATACTAAGAGGAAAGGAAAGATTCCATTATGCCCTTTCTAAAAGAAGAAGTCTCTTTATTAGTCTTTTGCTAACCTGAAAGGCAGTACTAGATGCTAAACTTAAATTATAGGATAGGGGGGGAAATCAATTAACCATGGTTGGATGGTTATAATGGATTGACAATGAACTCAAATGATTTTGAAGGGAATGGCTAGGATCTACCAGAAAATGTTGGACAAGCATATTTGGACACTGTTGTAGCTCTGGATTCCAATAGGAAGCCATTCCAATATTTCACAGATTTAAAGGGATCAGTTTCTTTCTTCCTGAATAATTGCATACTGCTCTATGAACATGGGATGTTATTATTCATATAGTAACCATTGTGAGGATCCATGCTCACGCAAATCAGGAAAACATTCCAACTCAATTCCAGAAAGTAGCAGAATATTTGGGAAGAGAATGTTCAGTCCTTCCAAAGAGCTCTTCCCTGATGCTAACTCATAATCTACTAGTCAGCTTTAGAAAAATTGACAGCTTGTCAGAGTAGCCATTTTTGCTCTAGGAAGAATTTATCAGTCAGGAAAAAAAAAGTAACAGCATTATCTTGTCTTGATTTCTTTGGGCTATAGAACTGAATAAGGACATTTGCCTTCAACGGGGACATTTCTAATTGCATCAAACAATGGTGAACTTTGACATAAATGAAACAACAGTTTCTACTTCATTATGGTAAAACAGCTATTTTATGCTGGTCAGTTATAGGACTTGGACCTCAAGTTGTTTGCCAAACCAAGGCAAGACAAAGCACGTAGAATTAGAGGAAGTTGCCTTATATAAAATCGAACTATCTAATTGAGTTTTCCATTGATTTTACTGGAGAACTTTTTCTAGCCCTCCATTGAAAATGCTGGAGACTGAACCGGAAATCTTCCGGATGTGCCCTGCAGACTGAATTTTCATGTTAAAACGTTATGATCTTGTGGGGCCATATTACTAAATGTCCAGGACTGCATGTTGGACAGTGGGTTGGGCACTGCTATTCTACCTCTTGAAGGAAATACAGCATTTGCTTCAATGGAAAGATCTAAGGTCAAAGAATAAATATTTCAAGGAAAAACCAGCTACTCTGTGTGAGATGGTGTTCCTGGAGAAGCCAGTTTTTGAATTGCTTTGGGAAGCAGTGAAGTTACTATCCACGGGAAACTGGCATACTTTACAAAATTCAGCCCATACCACAGAGTCACGTCTTGTGGCTGGGCAATACTACTTAGGAAGTACAGGATGACGAGAGACAGGATGGCACACCATCCCCTCTGAAGCCAACCAAGTCTCTCCTGCTTCAGTTGGATATAGGATGAAGAGTGAAAGGTCAATCCCAGTCCAAAGACCGTGGCTGTATCACGACACAGGGAAGCAAATGGATATGTGTCCATGCGGATCCACTTGGGATTTTCACACCACTTCACGGCAAGTTTTGTTGACCTAAAGAAGACAAGAAAATGAAGAGAGGCATATGAAACTTATCTTTTTTTAAAATTATTTCTATAGGAGGAAAAAATTGAAATCTGAGTAGATCTAGAATCTCTCTGAATCTCTAAAACTGCAAAATGTGGTATCCATGGGCAAGGAATTCCTACAAATATTTAAGTCAACATTTCTTTATTATTTGAATATGCCTGGTATTTGATGGGAAATCTTTCAAGGAGATTGTCAGAATTAAGCAAGGTCTTTAAAAGACCAGTTAAATTCACCCACTGCTTATGTGGATGGATGGATGGCTTCGTTTCCTCCCCCTCAAGCCAAGTAAAGTGTTTGTGGCATACATGTACATGAAATATGCTACAAAACTTCATGTATTTATAGCCTTGTCATTGAGTCTTTACTGATTAGCCCCTGGGCCATAACAAAGTATAAAGTTCAGAAACAAATTATTACTAAAATTTGATAAAAGCAATATAAAATGGAATTTGACAAAATACAATTCAAAATGGATTTGGAATAAAATACAGTATAAAATGAAATTGGAATAGAACACAATAATTTAAGATATAGATAAAATATGATGAAATTATATTTTGGTGTCACTCTTGCAATCTACCCCAATCAGTCCCACATATGCAGATCTCAACCGAACCATTTTGTTTAAGGACTGTGCTGTGTTAAATGTTATTTTCTGGTTCTGGCCGCATGTAAGATAAGTTGTTTTGATATGGGGATCCCAATGGGTCATTCCTTTCGTATATAGACCAAGGTATCTGTCTTTCACCCCCTTATAGAAGTGATTTGATCCAAGTCTTCTACCTCTGCCACTCCACAAATGCAGAGACGCTCATTGTAGGGTATAGAATGGAATCTCCCATATCTGGCTGTTCTGCCAAGCTGTTCGAATCTTGCTCGCTTAAATATCTCCCTAAGTTGTTTTGGCAGCTGTAACTTCAAATAGCTTCTACTTAAAAAGTATATTTGTATTTGCCCAGCCATTTCAAGTTACCCACCGTACTAAGGATAGCTATTTATTTATAGCATAATCAAAACAGCATTGCAACATCACTTTCACTTGATGTCTTTGTAATGTTGCCCTCGTCTTATACTTGGGGCATAATTTAAGCCATTTTATCTTACTCTTTTCTGTGTGCACAACACCAGCAAATACAGAAAACAGCCATGATGACCAGCAAATAGCATTGTAGTGTTGCAGGTAGCATGTGCTAGGTTCCACTAAGGATTGGTAGTTAAGAAAGGCTGTTAAGATATTTAGATAGTCTGTGAAAAAGTGGGCCTCAGACATTCCTTTGCATTAAAGGAACTCACCAGTTAAGATCTATGCCAAGAGTAACCAATGTCCAATAAATTGCTGTGGCACTTAGCCCAAGGGAGAATGAAGTCATCAGGTAGAAGTGGAATCTTCTTTCCAGTGGGACCCAGGATTGAAGTAGCCAACCTAGACTGGTCCCTGAAGAGAGATGGTGGAGAAGGGAAGCTTCAGTATTAACTGCCACATCTATTCCCTTAATCTTTGGATGTTCTAAAGCAGAGGCCAGCAGCCTATATGGGTAGCCAGGTCAGCAATCAGCATTTGGTGATATGGTAATTATAACCAGAAGAATGAAACTGTATTTTTAATTTTATTGTTGCCTTTTCTGTTTGGAGTTTGGGAGGATTTTGAGGTTAAAAACTGGGAGTCCCTGCCAAGCAAACCATTCTGATCTTCACTGTTCAATCACATTCCACCTCAAAACTGAAAATCTGGAATCACACCAGCAAAATGCAACAATCTCCACCTCAACCTTAATGCTGGAGGGCAACCTGATGAGATGTAGATGGAAGAAAAGTTGAGTAGATGCCAGGCTTATTGTATCTATTTTGCTTTTTTTAATTTGAAACCTGAGGCCTATCAGCCAGATTACTGGGTATGAAACATACATTCTGAATTTTAAAAAAATGATAAGCTTAGAAACCTGTGTGATGATCATGCTTCTACAGTTTCACCTGTACATGAAAGTCCCTTCTTGATTATCTCAAGCGTCTTTTAATATATTATTTGTCAAACTAATGTAAGCTTGGGTACAGAATCATATTATGTCTGCTTTGATAAATCAAAGGAAATATTAAATGACCTATTATAAAATCATTCAAGGATTTAACTAAGAGATCCAGATGTGGCCACTCTTAATTTAAGGGATATCTAATTTCTTCACCAAATTCATAATCTCATAAACTATTTTTCAGCCAACTTTCCACTGTAATCCTGTGACCATGTAGTTCAAAATAAGTATGCTTTTAGGCTAGGGCAGAGGCAAGAACAATTCAGAAGAAGAAGAAGCTGGCAATATTTTTGATCTGATAATTTTCTAAGTATTCTGTCATCTGTAGTTATTTAAGGTCAGTTAAAGTTGAAGGATGCAAAAGAAATGGATATGGCATTCTGATCCATTAGTCTAATCACCTGTGGATTTGATACCACTTGGCTATGAAAGTTGCCAGGAAGGACAAGATTCAGGCAGAGGTGAATGCATCTTTGACGAAGGAATATTTGCATCCTGCTTTGAATGCAGCAGAATTAATGTCCCATCCTCAATAAGTCATTGCTTAATTTGGTTATTTTAGATAACAATCACCCAGTATACAACCACCCTTTTGGGAGCAACGCTGTAGAGAAAGTAATTGGCTGGTAGTTACAGAGAATACTGGAGGAAATGGATTATATGGATCAGTCACGATTCAGGCTTGGATACAGGAGAGAAACTATATACTAGATTACCTATGGAAAGTGGTTTTTGAAAGAAATATTCTCAATGAGATGTGCTTTTATCAATCTTGAAAGCAAATTCCAAAGGGGTCTTTTAAAAAACAGGGCTGATATCTCTTAGCTCAGCACATGTGTGGCCATACTGTATTGCCATATATGTGCAAACCAAGAATCTAGAACAGGTAGTATACTGCTAACTTTCATGATGTACTTACCTGCCAAAATGCCACCAATAACTTGATGGGGGAAATGAGCAAGTATGAAGATGCGTGATAGTCCGATTAACAGCAAGAAGATGAAATAAATCGTAAAGGGCACGGCCCTCACCATCCAACTGTTGAGGTAAAATGGGAGAAGAAAAATGTCATACCAAATAACTCAGCAGATGGGTTGAGAATTATCTCTTTTGCTTCTCCCAATGCCAACAGCCTTAGAAGTACCAGATCCCAAATTACAATTTCTGTTCAAATTAAGGAAAAACAAGATAAAGTATTTTTTATTTTACATATATGAGTGACAGAGGTACATAGCTAAGGTTTGTTCTGCAAATGGAAATTCCAGTTCATTGATTTAGAAATGCCTTAAAAATAACCAGACATTTCTGCTGCCTTCTTTACTAGTAATGTTAGTAGAATCTTGATGGGAGTGCGCTCACAATTGTATCAGCTGAATCCAGAGGATCCAGAAGCTGATATTCCCCCTCCTTGTCTGCAGGTATTCACTCCTGGATTGTTCCTACTTTAGAGGAGTAGTGAGGCCAACTCTACCAACAGATTGAAAAGAATTATAGGAATGGATCCACAAGACAACCTTGTTTATAATTCTTCAAATGCAGGGGTTCCTATCTATTTGAAAGCCAAGTGTTTTATTCTAGTTGGAGTATTATGTCCAGTTCTGGCAACCTTGTTCCCAAAAACTGGTATCACAGTTCAAAAAAAATTATAGAATCTGTAATCAAGAAACTGGGATAATTTCAAATTATCAATTATAATTCCAATTATAATTTCAAATCTGGATAATTTGGCTCCAAAAATATACAAAATATTTGCCTTTTTTGTTTTTTGGGGCTGGGAGAACCAGGCACAAATTATATTATAAAATATATCATAAAAAGTTATAACGAATGTATAAAGATTTTTGCATCACCTGATAAGAGATAGAGGGATTTGGAAGGAAAAACGACTGGGACCTCCCCTGATGTTCTGTCAACTGTACAATATATATGGCCCTGATTTTCAGTGATAATACTGATAAGACCATGGTATTCTCCTGGAACAGCTTTGGGGGATGGGAATGAGAGGACTTGTGCTATCCTGGTTCACTTCCTTCCTCTGTGGCCACTTTCAGTCAGTGTTGATAGTGGGGGAGAGATCCAGTCCTCACCCACTGCTTTGCAGGGTTCAGCAGGTCTTGGTACTCTATCCGTTCCTGTGCAACATTTACATGAAGCCGCTGGGCGAGATCATTCGCCACCATGGACTGACATGCTGATGATACTCAGTTGTATGTCTCGGCTCACAATGAGTTAAGTGATGCCGTGTCCTCCCTCTTGCAATGCTTGTAAGAGGCTGGATGGGGAGCAACAGGCTAAAACTAAACCCTGCAAGACCAAGTGGCTCTGGGTTTGGGGTTTGTTGGCTCAGGGAGAATTGCCACTTTTGGTCTTGGATAGGGTGGCACTACCCCAAACAGACCCTGTGCATAGTCTGGGGGTTCTCCTGGATTCATAACTCCTGCTCAAAGAGCAGGTGGAGGTGATGGCCAGGAGGGCAATTGTGCCAACTGCAGGTGGTGCGCCAGATACGCCCTTCCCTGGACCAGCAATCTCCTCTTTTGACTCTTGCAACATGCTCTACATGGGGTTGTCCTTAAAGAGCATCCGGAAGTTCCAGCTAGTGCAAAATGCAGCGGCCTGCATGGTTTTGATGCAGACCTTGATGAGTTCATGTATCACCTCTCCTGCAGGAGCTGAACTGGCTGTCAATTTTCTTCTGGGTGCAATTCAATTTATTGTTTTAAATGAGGTTTTTATATTCATGGCCTTGAGTCGCCATTTGCAAATAGACAGCAATATAAATTCAATAAATAAATAAAATAAATAAATAGTATTGGCAGGAGAGCTGCATGCAGGTAACAGAAGGAGGACCAGGGCTTCATACTTTGATATGAGTGTTTTAAAGAAGTCAATACTGCAGACCAAAGGTGAATAGCTCAAGGCCCCATTGCCTCCATAATGAACAGCAATTTTAAGACACAAAACATTCACAAACTCTAAGATAAAGTCCAAGGTGTGTAGCAGCTGTGGTTTGACTGTGATCACAACACTTCCCTGAATTAGAAACGTACCAATGGTAAGGAAGAAAATGGGTGGAGAAGGAATGTTGGTCCTACCTGAATGTTCTTCTCAGCGTGGTGCAGGACAGGCCAGAAGTGGGTTGTTCAATCCTTATTTGCCCAAGAGACTGAGTCATAATTGAAGCCACGCCTCCAGCTCCTTCCTGCTTGGCCCCAATTCCCACGAGACACAGCTCCAACTGGAGAAACAAAAGAAGAGCAGGCCCTGCCCCGCAGCATACCCAGCCCAGGGGACTACGGACCTAACCAGTCAGCGGGGATCTGGCCATTCTGCGCCATGCTGAGAAGAATGTTCAGGCAGAACCAACGTTCCTTCTTCAGCTGATGGTGCAGGATGGTCCAGAAGTGGGACATACCAAAGCGGCAGACCTTAGGGCAGGGAACTCACTTGTCCGTAGTTCCGATGGGTTATGCACTCTCTGAAGCACCCATCGTCCGAAGTATGCCTCGGCGAATGCAAAAGCATCCAACCGGTAGTGCTTTATGAAAGGCAATGGAGAAGCCAACGTAGCCGCCATGCAAATATCCCCAATCGGTGCCTGAGTGTTCCATGCAGCCATGGTAGCAGTGCTTCTAGTCAAATGCGCAGTGATCCCCTGGGGCACAGGTTTACTCCGTGCCTCATAGGCCTGAGCATTGCAAGCTCGCAACCAACGCCCAATGGTGGAAGGTCACACTCTAGAGCCCACAGCAGAAGGCTGAAATGAGACAAACGTCTTCCTAATGGATGCTGTCCGCTTGATGTAGATACCGAGAGCCCTCTGCACATCTAACTTATGCCAGGATTTCTCCCTATCATGAGAGAGATTGGGACAAAAATCCGGGAGAACTATCTCTTGAGCCCTGTGAAAGTAAGAATTAATCTTGAAAATGAAAGTGGGATCAAGTCTCATCACGACCATGTTGGGATGGAAGGCACAGAGGTCCTCTCTCACCGACAGAACTCTCAGCTCAGAAATCCCCCTTGCAGACATGATGGTGATCAAGAAGGCCACCTTCAATGTGAGAAACTGCAAGGAAACAGTCCTCAACGGTTCAAAGGGATCATTAACAAAAGCCAAAAGGACCGTGGACAAATCCCAGGACAGGAACCTGTGAACCACCAGGGGCCTAAGGTTAGCTGCCCCCCCTGAGAAATCATTTAATCACTGGGTGGCAGCCTAGACTCACACTACCGTCCAGCACCAGGACAGTGGACAGGGCCATCATCTGCCTATGAAGCGTATTATGAGACAGGCCCTTCTCCAGGCCATCCTGGAGGAATTCCAGGATGTGAATCCGAGACAGGTCTTTGAGATCCATCTGGGCCACGCGACACCATTTGCAAAAGGCAGACCATGGGGCGTTGTAAATTCTGGCTGTGGAGGGGCATCTGAATGCAACAATGGTCTGGATCACCCTTGAGGAGATGTTCGCCTCCTTCAAGAGCTCCCTTTCAAACACCAGGTGGTCAGTTGGAGCCACTGAGGCGCTGGATGGACCAGGACCCCTGGCAAAAGGAGATGCTCTCCTGTGGAATCTCCAGGGTTTGGCAGTGGACAGACCTACTAGGTCCGTGAACCAAGGCCTGCGCGGCCAGTATGGAGCGACCATATGATCTCCACCCCTTCCGTCACTATCTTCCCCAATACCCCTGGTATTAGAGGAAGAGGGGGAAATGCATAAAGCAACCCCTGGGGCCACCTGCTGCACAGGGCACTGCTCCTCTCTGGTCCCCAATCCCCTCGAACAGCTCCGGATCCAGTTGCCATTCTGTCTGGTCCACCATGGCCCTGCTGAGCCAGTATGCTTGGTGGTTTGCCTTCTCGGAGATGTGCTCCGCCTTGATGGACAATTGGTGCCTCTCTGCCCAATGGCCCAGCCTTTAAGAATCCTTCCAGAGGCCTTGGAATGTCCGTGTCTGTTCACATGTGCCTATGCGGCCACATTGTCTGTCAGCAGCAGAATGTGTGCGCTACAAGGGCCTGAAAGTGGTGAAGGGCCAGATGAGCAGCCCAAAATTCCAGCCAATTAATGTTATGTGCAAGAGCCAAAGGAGACCAGGGGCCCTGGGCCAGCTGGGTCCACAGCAAGGCCCCCCAGCCATAAAGATTTACATCAGTGGTCACCATTAGCCTCTGCGGTTCCTTGAACACACACCCTTTAGACAAGGCTGGGGAGGTCCACCACTTCAAGGAGAGTCGCACTTGAGGAGAAACCTTAACAGGGAAGGTGGAAGCACTACGCCTGCTTCTCTGATATGGGAGTAAGAACCATTGCAGGGTCCTAGCATGAAGCCTTGCCCAGGGTACAAGATCTATATATGAGATCATTTTGCCTAACAACTGAGATAAGGTGACAATGGGGACGCGCTTCTCCTTTTGTACCTGGTGAACTAGCTTCACCAGACTAACCCTGCAATCTTGCGACAGGAAAACCATTCCCTTGGCAGTATCTATGACTGCCCCCAGGTGGAGCAACCTAGTAGTGAGCCTCAGGTGGCTTTTTTGAAAATTAATAGGGAACCCATAACTTTGCAGGGTCTCCACAGTCAGGCCAACATCCTGCAGAGACCATTCTGGTGTCTCTGCCTGGAGGAGGATGTAATCCAGGTAACATTGTAATCTGACCAAGATGCGCCGCTAGGGCCGCCAGTACCATTGTAAAAGTCGTGGGGGCCAACACCAGCCCAAAGGGAAGAGCCCTATACTGGTAGTGAATGCCAGGATAGGAAAACCTAAGGAACCTCCTGTGTTGGTGAAAAATTAATATATGCAAGTAGGCCTTGGTTAAATCAATGGAGGCCAAGAAATCACCATCCCTGATTCCTTCCAGGATCGAATGAAGGGAAGCCACCTTGAACCTTTTATACACCAAATAGTGATTCAATCTTTTAAGGTCCAGAATCACTCTCCACTTAACCAAGGCCTCCAAGAAGTTGGAGTAGAATCCCATGCCCCTTTCATCTTGCGGGACCAACTCAATCGGCTGGATCTCCCCCAGGTGGGCAATTGCCTGATGCATGAAGTCCCTCTTCATTTCACATTTGGAAGATGTGAAAGGTCTGAAGAAGTTCGTGGGGATGGAAAGAAATTCCAGCCTCAGGCCAAATCTAACTGTATTTAGAACCCGAAGGTCAGAATACGCTCCCACTGGTCGTCAAACAATGCCGACCAGCCTCCAATGGGAGCTGAGGCCAATTTATTTGTTTCTGCAGAAAGGGCTTCAGCTCGACCTCTGAAAGAACTGCTTGTTCTGAAGCTGAAACTAGGACCTGTCGCTGTAGGAAGACCTATTCTGTCCCCTGTCCTGGCGTGGCTGAAAACCCCTGGGCTGGTAATTATACTCATTATCTGAGCCCCTATAGTTAGGCCTATGTGTGTTCCTGCTTTTTTGCTGTGGAAGGCAAAACCTTACATTTGTTCTTATCTTCAGTAAGAATCAGATCCAGGACCTTGCCAAACAGGTTCTTCCCCATGTATTGGCCGCAGCTAACTTCCACTTTTCTTTAGCATCCACCTGCCAAATCCAGAGCCATACCATCCCCCTAGCTGAAACTGAATAAGAAAGAGCCCTAGAGGCAAACTTAGCGGCATTCAAAGTGGCGTCCACCAAAAATTGCGTCGTAGCTATGACCTTGCTGATGTCTTGCAGCAACCTCACATCGTGTGAAGGCATCCGCTGCTGCATTTGTTCCAACCACATCAACGTGGCACGGTTGAAGAAGGATGCAGAGGCGGCAGCCTTATTCGCCCATGTCGCAGCCAGGAAGGTCTTCCGAAAGGCAAGTTCAATCCTCTTATCTTCTGCCTTCAAGTTGTCCGCCACATCACTCGTGACCAGGGAAGCTGGGGATACCAAGGCAGCCATAGGGGCATCCACCATCGGGACCTGCAGTGCTTGAGAGAAATAAGTTTCCATATTATAGAAGCATCTATCATTCCCACCTGGAGTGGGGAAAGTACTTGGCTTAGCCCACTGCTTCTGGACCATGTCCAGAAACAATTTCAGAGCCGGAATCTCGTGCTTCCTTGCAGCAGATTCCGCAAAGAACCCCCATTTCCTAGGGGCCTTTTTGGATGTCGAAGCTTCGACTGCCGACTTCTCCTCCTCCTCCTCCTGCTTCTCCACCTCTGTCTCAACAGCTGCTGTGCTCCTGGCCTTGAACAGCAGAGAATGAAACAAACCCAGGGAAAACAAACCCCTCAAAAGCAGGAACATCGGGCACCAAACCCTCATCATGAGAGACCTCCAGTTCCTTCTGCTCTTCATCCTCCTTGACGGATATTTCATTCCTCAGCGAAGAAGACACAGCCCTCTGCGCCCTGGGCTTGTTTACACCTGGCCACCATCAGCTCCACATCTGCCTGGTCAGAAGACTGTCCCTGAAGAGCTAAGCCATGAGCTATGGCCTGATGAAGAAGAGATTGAATGTTACCAGGCAAATCATCAAATTCACCCTCAAAATGGCTGGGCCAGTCTTTGCTTCTGTGCTGGTCTCGAAGTAGGTTCTAAGCATGCAAAAAGGTGACAAGCAACACCCTATTCGTCCACCTCCAAAAGAGGAGGAGAAATGGAACTAGCCCTTGGAGAATCAGAGAGCCTGGGGGGAAGATGGAGAGGGGGACAATTGCATTGCCCTCAACACAGAAGAGGACCTTGGAAGGGACAAAGAGGCCTTGTCTCTACCATTCTACCGAGACTTCTCTGCCCCCCTCTCCTCCTTGCTGCCATGTGTTGAGCCACCCTGCTTAGAGTTGGATCAGCCGAGGAAGCCTTCCTTTTCCTGGAGCCTTTCTTGTGAGAGGAAGAGGCAACTTTAGAGGTAACTTCGCCTGGGGAATTGCCCATTGCTGCACCTCGCACAGATTGCACGTGCTAGGCCAAAGCCTGCTAGAAGAAACAAGGCCCCCTGCTGCTCTCAAACGTGCGACCGTGTTTGCAGGTGCCAGCAGCCAAAATGAGCTCCGTGCCAGCAGAGAAGTGCAAACAAAATGGCCACCATCTTGTGACTCAATAAGGCAACTCAAAATGGTCACTGCCCCATGGCCTCAAACAAAATGGCCACCACCACGAGAACCTCACGAAGATGGCCACCGTGCGGGAAACTTCAAGATGGCCACCCCCAGGGACAGTAGTATGCACTGGAAGCCATTTTCCACAGGATGATCAGGTGGGCTCCGGAAACACCCCGAAAGCTGAAACAACGCTGCCGCTCCACAAGCTGGCGTGGATAGCACCTTGGCTTCGCCAAACACAATCACTGCCACGTGAAAGTGCCGACACTCACCTGATGCATCTTGACATCTGCAGCGCTGCCGAAAAGTCTGCCTATGCCTCTGATAACCAGGAGGCAATCGCAGGAGCTCCCAACTGATCCAGCAGCAGCTCGGCGATGTGGCAACAGGCAGGAAGTCACAACAAGGGCCTGATAGCCGGCGCAGCCAGCGCCGCTCTCCCCGACGCCCGGGGAGCCTCCAACAACAGAAGCAGAAGATTAACCAAACCAAAGAAACATGGCAGAACAACTTGGAGACCAAGTCAGCCACCAATCCAGGAAAAACCAAAAAACAACAAAAAGTAGGTAAAACAAAAAAGAAACCACTTAATTAAAACCCCAACTCACGAGCAAACCAAAATTGTGTCTCTTTACAGGCAAGACTGAGTTGGAAATGGAGCCAAGCAGGAAGGAGCTGGAGGCATGGCTTCAATTATGACTCAGTCTCTTGGGCAAATAAGGACTGAATAATCCACTTCTGGACCATCCTGCACCTTCAACTGAAGAATAAGCTATGTACATTACCTTATGCACCAGAAGAAAAACCAGAATATGTATCAAAATCAATCAGACATGTACCATTTCAAAGAAATAATCCATGGCTCCAATCTCAATGCAAATAAAATTCCAAATCTTTGCCTAGCACATGTGTATGATGTGTCTTTGCCTATTTTACAACATCGTGGTATGGAAGGGGTAGGGGTATGCCTAGTCTTGGTGGAAGCACAAGTTGGAAGGACATAGATCTGGATTTGTTGATAGTTTTGGTATGATTTATTGCACACTGAAACAGACCCCTGAATTCTATAGCAATCATAGGAATTCTACAAAAAAAGGGGGGGGGGCGGAACGTTTAGAAATTTGCACAAGTTTTAATAAAGTCAATTCTGATTTAGGGAGAAAAGTTCCTATACTTTTTTGTACTTCTTTGAGGAAAGAGTGAATACATCAACATGTAAACAATTACTGTAAGTCACAATGGAAGAATTGTCACGATGGCAGTATAGAAAATATGTGGTGGCGCAGTGATTAAAATACAATATTGCAGGGTAACTGTCCACTGCTAGGAGTTTGATCCTGATCAACTCAAGGTTGATGCAGCCTTCCATCCATCCAAGATCAGTAAAATGAGGACCCAGATTGTTGGGTGCAAAATGCTGACTCTGTAAAGCGCTTAGAGAGGGCTGTGAAGCAATATATAAGTCTAAGTGCTATTGCTAAATACCTTTTAGAGTTCTTGGCTATCTGTCTGGCCAGAATGCTTACAATTGGCCATAGGGCTGCACCGGTGATCATACAGTGGCCAGAAGGACTTCCTGTAAAAAGAAAAAGAATTAAAATCCCTCTGGTTGCTAGTGATCATCCATGTAAAAGAGAAAAAATAAATTAAGAAAAGGTAAATAATTATGTCACATAGTTACACAGTGTTATTAAATTAATGATCTATGGGTAGTCCTTAAATTACCACCGTAATGGAGCCTGCCTATCATGGTCGTAACTCATCTCATTAAATGGATTGGGTCAGATGACCGGCCCAATTTTGCAATCTTTTTCGTGCAGTGATTGTTAAGTCAACCAAGAGTTTCCTATGAGTGTGGTTTTAGACATAAAATAAAATAAAAATCAGAAGTACAGTATTTTCCCACTATAAGATGCATCAGATCAATAAGATGCACATTAACTTTGGAGGAGGAAAACAAGAAAAAAAATCTGCCTCTGACTCCCAGCATCCATCCAGTATTCATTTGGCTAGCGTCCCTGCAGCAAACAGCCTGGTCAGCGTCAGCATGTTATTGAGGCCCAGCACGTGACTCCATTGCGTCACTCGCCACCACTATTTGCCACCACCTCAGTCACTGCCTACTGCTGCTGCTTGCTGCCTATTGCTACCGCTAATTGGCGGTGGCAGTGATCAGTGCTGATTGGAGGTATTCCAGGAGGCCAATCGAATCACTGTTCAGCTGCTCAGCAGCGAAGGCTCCAATGTTTCATGGCGACAGCAAGCAGTGGCAGCGGTGACAGGCGGTAGAGGCGGTGACACCAACCCCCCTCCTCCCTGCCACAATATTCACTCTATAAGATGCACAGACATTTCCACCCACTTTGGGGGGGGGGGGGGCAATTGTGTCTTATAGAGTGAAAAATATGGTAAATGCCGTTTTTAGTCAAAACCATTGCAAAATGTAACCATGGTCTGTAGCACACAATTTATAGCTATAAACATTGTGGAGTACCCAAGTGCAGTCACATGACTGCAGGGGTGGCGGCTGCACCATCAGGGCTTCAAATCCAGTAAACACCCCCCTAGAGATAGGTCCGTTGATCATAAGTTGAAGACTACCTGTAAAGATAACAGAGAACTTCTGTTATCATGTTAAGTAATTATTAATTGGTTAATTTGATTATTTAATTTTAATGATATTAATTATTGTCAACAAATTCAAATGGGAAAAGGTTCCATTTAGATGGGATAAGTTGAAAGGGAGATTTTTAGTTTTAAACAACAGAGATTCAGTCTACGGCAGGGGTATCAAACTCAAGGCTCAAGGGCCGGATCTGACCTGCGGGGTGCTTAGATCTGGCCTATGGGGCCACCCTGGAAACAGTGAAAGACCAGACCATGGTGCCTCAGCCAGTGAAAATGGCGTTTAGGAAGGCTTCAGGTGGCCCTCATGAACTCTCTTTTCGCTGGCAGAAGGTTGCAGGAGACCATGACAGGCGAAAACAGAGCTAGGGAGCCCATTTTTTTCTGGCAGAGTGCTCGGGTCACCACAGGCGCCCCTGATATGAGTGACAACTGGCCAGCCCCCCCCGCCCCAAGGTCAAACACAACCCTGATGCAGCCCTCAATGAAATAGAGTTTGACACCCCTGGGTCTATGGAGATCCTTAGTCATCCAGGTCATGGTTGTCCCAAAGGTGCTTTTTCAAGAGGCAATTGGACATTCTGGGTTGTTGTTTTTTTTTGAAGACATTTTGCTTCTGATCCAAGAAGCTTCGTCAGCTCTGAAGTTCTTTCCAGAAAATCTAGTTGCCTTTTGAAAAAGCCCCTTTGCGACAACAGAGATTCAGACTGAGCCCTGTGCAAAAAGCAAAAGACTTTCTAGGAAAACTTGAAAGAAGAATTGGAGGAAAAGCAAACAGAAGTGACAATGACAGAGGTAACTAAACAAATGCCACAGCAGATACAGGTGGATTCTGAAGATACTATCACAGTGGGCACTTACACCAATATTTTAGAAAAATAAATACTTGTTAACTATGGATTACAAATGCTTAATATGTTAAAAAAGGAGCAAATGCTCCTCAAAATAGAAAAAATATACTTCTCGATTTACAACTGTTTGGTCAATGATGATTTGAAGTTATGAAGGTCTCAGTCGCGCAATCACATGATTGCAATTTGGGCGCTTGGATACCAGTTTTGGATTTACAACCCTTTGCAGCATCCTGTGGTCACGTGATTGCGATTTGCATGGCAAAAAACCCTCTACTGAAGGAGCTGGATCTGCTTAATGACCACGTGATTTGCTTAATGGCCACATGATTCGTTTACCATCCGTGGTGATTTAGTTAATGAAAACAGTAAAATGATCATAAAATTGGGTCTGATTATGTGATGACTTGCTTTACGACCACTTAACATAACAAAAAGTCCAGCCCTAATTCTGGTCACAAGTTGAGAACTACCTGTACTTCATTATTTGAAAAAGTTCAACAAGGTATGATTTCCTTAGAAGAAACAGATATTAGAAACAGATTTTTTTTAAATATAAAAAAGGAAAAATGAAATTCTAATTTTGGGAATTACTGATTAAATACATTTCCTATTATATGTACTAGCTATTTCTATAAGTAAAAGGTTGAAACTATTTTATTATTTTTATTCTGCTGCACTGAAAAAAGTTGGAAGTTAATGCTTTCCCCCCTTTTTCTTCCTCTCATCCCACAGTTCTTTCCCTTTCTTTTTACCTTCCCCATTTTTTTTAATCTTTGTTCTCACTTCTGTTTTATACTATGATAAAAACAATTACCGTATTTTTCGGAGTATAAGACAGACCAAGGTTTTGGAGAGGCAATTTTTTTTAAAAAGTGGGTAGGTAGAGGGATAGAGAGGGAGAGAAAAAGAGAGAAATTCAGTAGATAGGTAGATGTTTCTGCTGGCACAGCACTTGATCAATGTAATTCTCATCAATCAGTTAAAGAACTTTCCAAAAGGGAAAAAAAGTTTTTGCATTCTGCAAACCTCCTAAACACGGCCCATTTTTCACAAAAATGGGCTCTTTTTTTTTCAAAAAAAAAAAGAGAGGCATGAATAGCCTTGGGGGGGGGCTTGCAGAATGCTTCTGTGGGTTGGGGGGGGCAAAAACTAGCAAAAAATGGCCTTTTTCGTGAAAATGGGCCCATTTTTTGTCAAAAATAGGGCATGCATAGCCTTTAGAAGGCTTGTAGAGTGCTCCTGGGGGCTGGGCAAAAACTAGCAAAAAATGGCCTGTTTTTCGTGAAAACGGGCCCGTTTTTTTGTCAAAAAAATTGCATGCATAGCCTTATGGAGGCTTATAGAGTGCTGCTGGGTCTGGGGAGGGTTAAAAAACACCCTGTTTTTTGCTCATTTCTGCCCTTCCTAGCCCCCCAGGAGCTCTCTAAAAGCCTCCATAAGGATATGCACAACCATTTTGCTGAAGGGGCGGGGCTTCAGGAGGCAAAAAAATGCTGTACTCGGTATATAAGACACACCCAGATTTTCAGCCTCTTTTTTGAGGAAAAAAAGTGCATCTTATACTCTGAAAAATATGATCCTCAGATGGGGCTAAGACTTTGAAACTGGGAATATATGGTCCAAATGAAGACAAAAAATAGCATTATAAAGATCCTATAGGTAAAGCATTGAACTTTCCATGTCAAAATTGGTATTTCCTAGGAGACTGGAATGAGATGATTTGGATGATCAAACAATATAAAAGTATGTTGTCATTATTCTCACAAAATGAGTGTCATGAGAAAGCCTTGCCTATTAACACAATAATTGGCATGGTAGGCACAGCCAATCTGGAAACATTGATTGACCCAAAGAAAAACAGGTTGAAATTAAAAGCAAATTAATGACACCATTCAAGAACCTTACAGGACAGTATTTCAAGAGTGTGGGGAGAAGGTAACATCAACACTTATTTTCTCCAAATCCTATTTTCTATTGGACTGGATTACCAACCTGGTCCTGTTTCACAGCTGGATGGGAATTGACGGAGAAAAATTTCCTTCTTCTTGGAAAATCCAGATTCAGAGATCCACCAGAAGGGCCGTTCACCAAATAACAACCTTGGAAATAGGAGGAAGAGGAAATATACCATGTTTCATGAAATGTCCTGAAAATAAGGCCATGCCACATTTTTCGGGTGGGCAAAAATATTAAGCTCTCCCCTGAAAATAAGCCCCTTGGACAGCCCCCCCCCCTCCAACCAGGCAGAGCACTGGTCATCAACCTAGCTGTATCCCGAAGGTGTCAAGCCGCAGGAACCGGGGGGGAGGCAAAGGCTTCACGTGGCTTGGCAATACCCCGAAGTCAATTAATGGCGCTATGCCTGGCTGGAAAAGGGGTTTGCCGGGTGGCTGCTTGTGAGCATGGTCACTTCATGGCAGCTGTGTTGCGCTGCTGCAACAGTGCAACACAGCTGTTCGCCCCTGAGGCTGTGCCTGGCTCTTCGGAAGCCCACCCGCAAGAGAGCAGCCACCCAGCAACCCCAAAACAATAAGCCCTCCCCTGATAATAAGACCCAAGCTATATTTTGTGGGCCAAAAGAAAACAAGACCCTGTCTTATTTTCAGGGAAACACGGTATATAATTAAGAGCTGGGAAGAACAAAATCAAGACTTCCAAAATGCTAGGAAATTTAAATTTACTTGCCATCTTATCTACTAGTTTACAATTGACAACTTTTCTTGTTCTAGTTTTATTGATTGATTAATTTGATTTATATACATCTTTCTTCTAAGAACTCAAGGTGATATACATTAGATAGCATTAATCCAATATTTGATAGCACTAATCCTCACCCAATATTTTGCTACAACAATCCAATGAGGAATATTGGGCATAAAGAATGCATTTGGCCTACAGTGATTAAGAGACCTTTCAGAACTGAAGGTGAACTAGAATACCAGTTTCACCAGTTCTAGAAAATACTTCAAGCCTGCACCATTCTAACTAAATATTACTTTTTATCAGTGTAAGACCACTGACTCTAATTTGTATTTTACAGCAGAAGGATTGCAAGCTTGTCACTTTTATGAAGGCAGAACTATCTGCAACCAGACATTGTTTTGTTAATTTCTACTGGACTTATCACAGAGAGAATCAGGTCTCACACCTATAACTAACAGGTATCATAAGAATAAAGAGGACAACAGTTTCCAATTAAATCAAAGTCTCCTTCACATGCTATATGTGCTTCATTTACAAACATGGGAATGCACACATAGAGCTCTTCACAGGCCAATGAAATGCACAGAGTGGCGGCAAAGGGTGACTGCCAGGTAGAACGCAGGCAATATGTCCACACTGCTCTTCAACCCATCTACAATCCTTTCTAATGCATGGGTGATAGTCAACTCAACCTTTTCTTCCAAGAAAGCCCTATTCATGTATATAGGCAGTCCTCGACTTACAACAGTTCATTTAGTGACCGTTCAAAGTTACCACAGCACTGAAAAAAATGACTTACAACCATTTTTCACTCGTATGACCTTTGTAGTATCCCCATGATCATGTGATCAAAATTAAGATATTTGGCAATTGGTCCATACTTATGATTGCTGTTGTGGCGCAAGATCATGGGATCCCCTCCTGCAACCTTTTGACAAGCAAAATCAATGAGGAAGCCAGATTCACTTAACAACTGTGTTACTAACTTATCCACTGCAGTGAATCACTTAACAATTATGGCAATTAAGGTTGTAAAATGGGGCTAAATTCACTTAACAAATGTATCACTTAACAACACAAATTTGGGGCTCAATTTTGATCGTATGTTGAGGACTACCTATATACACAAACTTGTATTCCAAGTTTTAAGGACTATTATAGTACTATAACTCATCTTTCTCTTGTTCTTATAACAATTCTATAATTCTGTAATTTTTTATCATGGACAGAACAAGAACATTTGTTCCATTAATGAATAGTTCCAAATTTGTTCTAATCCTTGATATTAATTCCTCTGAAAGGCAAACATATTTTGCTGCTTTAAAATTCTATTAAACTCCAGCAAATTGAACACTAATGGACTGTTGGTTAATAACTAATATAAGTGCTACTGGCTGCAATTCAAGCCATCCTATTCAAACACAGTGCAGCATAGGCTGAAAGTGGAAATTCAGAGTGTGACTTTGAGTGAATTATTTTTTATGAGTCCAAGCTATTACAAGATTCCTCACATAATAGGCTTCCAAAAAAAAGGCAGGCTATAAGTCTAACAAATAAATCAAATATTCCAATTCCTTTCATGACTGATTTTCTGCTTCTCCTCACCATCCAGAATCACTGAATAGGTTCTTTCATCTTGGGGTTGTTTAAGTAATTACTTTAATTTAAAGTCAGTTCTCTTATATATTTGATATTTGCTATGTGAATGCCATTTCAGCCATAAAAGCATTCATTTATAAACCATGAAAAGGAGTTCTTCCTCTGTATAAATTGGAGCTAGCTCTATAAAATGTCCTCGGTGCAGAACAAAGTTTATGTTCTGTGTTTAATTCCTGGATGTTGACTCTTCCTTCTATGTCACAAAAAGCTGAATCTATCATTCTCCATCTTACAAAAGCACAGAAGTTACTGTCTTACTGTAGAAACTCAACTTCCAAATAATACTTCCCTTGTTCCTATGGGTTCTTTCTGGATGCCAAAAATTGAATGGCTAGGTTCCAAACATTCCAACCAGTTCACAGGAAAAAATCCAGTCTAATTCTGGAATATTTTTTTACCCTTCATTTTTCCTCACCATTTAGACGTCAAATTTAGCCATTCTGAGATTAGGCCCAACCACAGCACTGTCAATCCAATCTTCTTATCCAGCAGGAAGTAGGCAAGAGGGAAATAAAATATGAAGACACATTTGGGATCTCCCAAAAAGGTTACCCAAAGCCAAAAATCATCCAGTCCAGGCAGAGCCCCCTGAAGCGTTTCAGCAAATTGGACGCCGCTAGTGTAAAAGATATCCATGGTGGTGAAACTGAAATAGATGAGAAGAATTAAAATGTGTTTCTGACAAACTCTTGCCGAGCCAATGCCTTTGCAATGCAGAAATAAAGCAACAAAGTTGTTCAGGAGATAGTTAAACCATTTCCATAACAATAAAGAAGCAGCACATGATGATGCAAGCTCTGCTTATAAGCCAATCTGGCCACATTTTAGATGTGTGAACTTCAGATTTCTCAGCAATAGTCATCTCAGAAGCCATCACTGAAAGTCGGAAAGGACCTTGTAAAATCAATGACAAACACCAGTAGCCGTTTTGTATCAAAACACTTTGCTGGGAACCTTTCTCTTGTTATCCTAGTGCCACAAATGGATACATGCATACCCTATTAATAAACATCCATTACCCTTTACCATTCATATACTGTCATTTCTTTCTTTTCTTTTTTCACAGACTTTGATAAAAATGGGCAGCTATATAAATGAATAAAATTAAATAATAAAATTAAATAAAAATATAATCAGAGAGTTGGGAAAGATGATGTAGGGCAGAAATATGCACTTAATAATCCTTTATTATTTCAAAAAATTTCAGTGGATATGATGCCATTATAGGACTACCTGTATAGTGTAGGGTATAAAATGTCAAGATGGCAGCTGGGGCAGTAGGACACAGTATGATCAAAGCCACTATCTTGGCCTTTTTTTCTTTTCTTACTATACTGCGTGTTGCTTCTGTTTCCATTATAGAGTTCCAAAACGAACTTTAAAAAAATCCCAAAATAGGAGACAGGAGCTGATGTCGCAACGGTACAACGTGCAATCTCGGAGCTCCGACATCACAGGCAAATTTTTTTGCCACTAGACGGTCCTTTTGGACCTAAACCATCCCAAAGAGACGGTGACAGGGAAGAGTATGTTTTGTTGATCTCAGGGACATCGCAAAGTCCCTGATTGATCCAAGAGAATCTCTTCTTGCTGGCGACAGAAGCTGCTGAAGTTGGGACAGCTCCGCAATGGGAGGAAAGCCGAAAGAGAAAGTGTGTCCATCTGGTGAAGACTTTTTATTGTTATAAAAGAGTCTCCCCCACAAAAAAAAATCAAAGCTAAATTAAACTTGCAAAGAAAAGAAAATAAGCGGTGAAATTAAGCTATATTGGACAGTGTGTTATCCTTTTTTTTCATTTTCTTTTATGGATGGAAGTCTTGCAAATATTTCCTACTTTTTAAAGTGAAAGTATTGGTTTTTCTTCTATTTCTTTTTTACCTATGGATTAAATCTTTTTCTTTATTTTTATAATATTGATTTGGATGGGTTTTTTTCTCTTCATTTTGCTCCATTTAAGAATTTTGTTTCTTTTAAGTCTGGAATAAAAGAAGCTATAAAAGGAATATAAAGAGGGTAGTAATATCAGAGGGAAAAGAAGTTGCACTGCCACTTGGAGGTTGGAGGTTGAGTCCTGGAAATATTGCTTTCTTTTTTTTCTCTTTGATCATTTTGACTTTGCACTTCAAAGGCTTCAGCTTGTTTACAGAATAGATAAGGAGAAGAGCATGGATGCTCTTTGGATGCTTCTTTGGCAGCTGGAGAGAAGTGAAAACAAAACCTTGTTTTGAAACTAGAGTGGCGTTTACTAGTTTCAAGAATGGCATAGCACCAAAAATAAACCACAACATTACAACAGATTATGTTTGAAATTCAAAAATTATTAGAAACAACAGAGAGAATTGAGAAGAGATTGGAAAATATAGATTGTAATGCAGTGAAATTTGATGGGAGAGTTGAAGATATCCAGCAAATGGAAAACGTGGAGGTTAGAGTCCTAAAAACCCAGGGGAGAAATGAACAAAGAGGCAAGATAATTGTGGATACTGATGATGAACTGAAAGGGAAGATAGATGGAAAGGAGCTCTACCCCAGATTTCAAGGTATAGAAGAAGAAAAAAGAGAAGAATTGATGGATTCAAGGAGAGAAACTTTGACAAAAGCAGTACTGATCACCAAAGATAAGCTGATTAAAGAAGCTGATGGAGGGTCTCAAGATTTTATAAGATATGTAAAAAGCAACAAGTTGCAAAGAGAAGTCCACACAAATTTGATTAAGGAAAAAAACCAGAAGACTTATTCCACAAATGGCAAAAGGCATAAGACTGCACTATTACTGGAAAGACACAGGTTATGAAAACTAATAACAAAATATTAGTCAAATTTAGTTAAAATTAGAACATTATGTTAAAAATGAAGTGGATATAGTTAGATAAATAATTGATAATGATAACAATGTACACACATGTATTGGTTTGATAAGAGGAAATTTGGTATAAATTCTAAATGGTGATCATGAAAGGAAGTTTGGAAACTCTGTTATGTATGAAAGCTTATAATATTTAAAAAAAGAATAAGTTAAGTTTAGTTAAACTCAGACCTCCCCCCCAAAATGAAACGATGACGGATATTGTTAAATAAATGATTGATAATAATAATAATGTAATATTTGTATTGACATGATAAAAGGGAAATTGGATATAAATTGTAAACAGTGATTAAGAAAGGAGGTTTAGAAACTTTGTTATTAAACATAATTAATTTTTATTTAGAAAGTGTTATAAAGATGTAATGGATAATATTGAAAATAGATAACAGAATACCATCATGTGGTTTTGCTTTACATTTTGGATTATTTTATATAAAGGGACGTAAAAACAATTATAGTCATATGAAGATTAAGATATGATGATAGTAATATATATATAAATATATTTGATTCAAAATATATAACTTGATATGAAGTGTAGGTGATGACTGTGGAAGGGATGCATGAAAGCTCTTTGTAACCAATTGACACACTTTTTACTATTTGTAGTAGAAGATATTTTTGTGATGTTTGTTGTGTTTTGTCTGTGTTTATTCAAAAATAAAAAAAATTTTTAAAAAATCCCAAAATAATGATACAAGCTTGTAGAAAAATATGGACAAATATGAGCTAAATCACAGGAACATGCCTAAATCACACAAACAAGAGTGGAAAAGAACTACATCATGATGCAGAAATAATATCAGTAGTTTAACACAGTTGGAGCCTAAATTAATTATTATGTTTAAAATAATATTTTAAAAACACTTGCATTCTCCTTTCCCCACCAAAGATGTCCAAAGTGGTTAACTATAGGAACAAACATACCTTTCTTTTGTTTTTAGTTTTTTAAAATCCTATCAACTGAAATATAAAATAATCAGATTATAAGGACTCCACATATAAAAGATGTTGCAGCAACCAAGAATCTTAGAAGCAGAAAATAGCAGTGTGAGAAGTAAAACCATCCAAGTGAAAGATGGGCACAGAAAAATCCAGTTTATTAAATTCTATGGAGAAGATAATTTTAGTTAGAATACAGAGTATTTCTTGAGGGCGGCCAAGAAGGAAATTCCATTCTAAATTTGGGTCTGGAAAGCATATAGTGGTCTTTTCTAATTTGGTAGCATGAAGATGTGTAAATATCCATTATACCCAGCCACCATGGATTTATGGAAGTTGGAAGAAAAACTGTCTAGTAAGCCTCAGGCTGAGAAAGGCTGTACTAGAAATGAAAACAAATACCTTGAAATATACTTTGCTTGTTAAAGGGAGTCCTAGAAAAATGTATTTCAAATAGCTACGTAGTTCCAGACAATGTATTTGCCACATAATCAATATATTGCAGCACCAATAGTACCAATAATAATAATAATTCATCATCAATCAAATACAAACGGCAGCTAAACTTGGAAACAACTTACATCCTGCGATGACATCAACATCTGCTATCCCAAGTCCTTGGTTAGGACTCAATCGGTGGACAAAAATGCCAAATCCAATCTGAATATCAGGCTGACTAGGCAATGAACCATAATAAAGATTATTTATTTCATGTTATTGTCTTTATTTTATTGTTAAAACAACCCAACTATCCAGGGAATACAAAATTAAAACATAGAATGCTAATGGAGCCACAAAACTCCACAGCTCCTCAAACAGCTAGGTTGTTATGGCCTGTGTGAAGGCCATGCAGGTCTTGGAGGAAAAACTATTAAAAGTGGTATCTTTTGGAATAGTGTTCTCTCCCCCCTCTCCCACTAGAGATAAGGAAAGAACTGAAAACTTGACTTTAGTTCCACCCAGGTCTGAGGTTGATGTGTTATTGGTTGTGTAGAACTCTTATTTAGTTTTATTTGCGTTGTTCATAAGATTGTTTTAGTCTGGACTGTTCATTTGATTTCATCTTTTATCTGTTTTCAAGGATTTTCCAGAATTTGTACACTTGCTCATAGTCATTTATTATACAAATAATGAGTAATAATAACTATTCCAGGGGGATGGAAAAGTGGCATAGGATATAAGCTGCATGCTGATTTGATTGGATTTTATGAGATGGGTCATAGAATGGAATGGAAATGGCTTTGAACAGAAATATTCTTCTACTAAAGGGAAAGATTTCCAATAGGAGAACCCTCAAAAATATATCTTCATCCTATTTGATTCACCTATAAAAAAAATGCTGCATGTCTTCTGTCCTTGACAGACCATGGAAGAACAGACCTGGAAACAGATGTTTTCAATAACCACCTCAGGCCTGTGGAATATGTAACCCCATTAAATCCATATTATCCCCTACACAACATTTTCTGGGGCAAGAGATCATGGTGTAAAGTGAGCATTTAGAGATCAAGAGTAGATTTTATTAACCCTCACCAATTTTTAGCTGTGGCTCCACAAACAATTTTTTCTAGAACAGAATAAAAGTCTTCAAATGTTCTTCTTTCATTTGACAAGCTAAAGACTTCCAACCCAAATCATTTCACTAGTAGTTTATGGCTGATAGCATCCAGAAATCTAGAGATTTCAAGGCTGGAGAATTAGCAGGAGGAAACAGCTTTGTTTTGTTCTATTTACAGATCTTCCTCTAGGCAAGTGTTTCTCAACCTTGGCAACTTTAAAATGCATGGACTTCAACTCCCAGAATTCTCCAGATATCTATATCTATATCTACTATATCTATATTCGGACGTGCATAAGTGCACCAGTGTGCCTAACATCCCTGTCCTAATGTACCCATTTATTTGTACCTATTTCCTGTGTTCTTATTCATGTTTATTTTATTCCTGTTATCTTGTATATGAGTGACTAACTAAATAAAAATAAATAAATATTACAATCAATTATCCTAGTTGTTCAAGCACTATCCCCAATGATGGCTTCAGAGTAAAGTTCAAAAAACTCACAATCGCTCACAAATAATTTCAATTTTGAGAAGCTGGGGGGAAAAACACAGAATGACATACTTAAAAGCATCACAATTCAAGGACAACTTTCACACTAGGAACTTCCTGATTCTTCTGATGCTTTCAGTTCACCACCGTAATGATTTCCGGCATCCAAAAGTCCTGATCTGGCAAACCTGAAAAGTCTGCATTAGCCCCTCTTCTCCTCAAACTACTTCCAGGATTTCTGGGAACAGATTTCTTGAGGGCAAAGCAACATAATCCCCTAAAGGGCAATAAGTCACGCATAGGCTAAATCGAACATTTTTCATTAGGAATACAAAACACGATGCTAGAAAATTTTCATGTGCTGACTGGACGTATATTATATTACTCCCCCCACCTTCCCCAGAGCACAATAATATATACTAAATAAAGTTTTAAAACTATATTTTAAGCATTATAATATTAGAACGAAATATTAATCAACTATTCTTTTTAGCTCTGTTTCTGAATTTCCCAAGATCGATTTCAAAAGATTTCCCCCTTTCTCTCTCTCTCTTTTTTCCCCCGATTTTGTCCGCTTTCACCATTGCTCTTTCGTTCAATTACTTATCACGTCCCCGTTACCTGCAATTGCCGGCTTCTGACTGTTCGCACCATTGAATAACCAAACTACATTTCCCAGAAGTCTTAGAGATACGGACTCATCAGTATCCGGCTTGATTACCAGATGAACAAGGGGACATTCACCAAGATTCGCGTAATGTTTCAAGTTGGAATTTTCACTAGATACTTATTTCACACTTACTCAATAGTTTTACAGCTTTATGGGTAGATGTGTTTCTGTGTACGACACGTGGCACGAAACTCTTTGCTGCTATATGATCTGATTTTTGCCGCTCCCAAGTTTTAAAGTGGACGTGTCTCAGAAAGCCATAAAATATAACTCCACTTTAATGAACTAGTATATTTGTTAGGATATAATTTTTAATGTTAGGAGCCCTTCTCTCCGTTTCTTATTATCCATTTTTGATTGTCCCATTGATGCATATATAGTTGGCCCACTCATTCAAAACACACACCTATTAAGTTGGAAAAAGCCCCTCCCACCCCCACATTCAAAAGTATCAATAGATATTGAAGAACTTTCCTATGGTAAAAGAGTACTGTCCTGTAGTGTACTTTACTTGGAGATTTATAACATATATTTAAAAGATGCTAATGAGTCATGAAAAGTGTTATACAAAATTATACAGAATATATAGAAATGAATATTTCTCTCTCTGGAAATTTCAGGAGAGCCAAGGTGGATGTATTTCTTCAAACAGTATGTTTATCAAATTTAAATAGCCACCTATCTCACAAAAATGATTATTTCATTAATCATTATTAAAAATGCAAAATAATTATTACTGTAATGAAATATAAAAAACGCAAGGCACTGGAGAGAGTATTTACCATACTAATAAAGCCATCTTGGAATGTTGCTGATTTCCTGGGATCTCAACCTGGTGACATGGCCAGGTCTTGAGGGACTTCCAGAACATTAACAGGGATGGAGGTAATCTCATTTTTAGGTGTTTGGGAATGTAACTACCAGTAAATATATGTAGTGAAGGAGTATATGAATCAACATGAATCAATATTGGCTATTTGCTTTTATTATGAATTGCTTATGTTACTATATAATTGTTACTGATTAAACCAATATTTGCTGTTTGCTTCTGATATGATATACTGCTAGAAATCATTTATTAAGAATTAAGCTTTGTTATTGTCTTCTGCTTATATTATTGTATACTGTCAGAAATTAGTTGCTTTCTAGCCTAGCAAATTGTAACAATACTGGATGGCATTACTGCAAATGTCATCTCACTGCTGTGTCTCGCTTCTATTCTTGGCTTCAATGGTAGGCACATTCTTGAAAACATAGAAGAAATTGTTACACGGGAATATCAGGCCCCATAGATAAAAGAATCAAACTAGGGAATTCCTAGCTCATAAATCCTTAAAGCGTTCTGCTGGAAAAAAACTTGGCAAAGGGGGGCTACCACCCCGTACATAAGGCTACAGGAATGCTCCTATAGTGTAGACAGAGGTAGACAGAGACAGGAGTTTGAAGAAAAGAACATTTTAAAGATCACCTTGGTAATTAATCTTTGTCTCTGATTCAATAAATTTTGTTTCTATCTGCCTAAAATGTATATAATACTCTGAGCCACTCTTGCATGTTTTGGATATAGTTTTGTATGTTTTGGATATAGTTTTGTCACCCAGCTTTTGCTATGGCCATAAATAAAAACTGGTATTTCTTGCAAGCCTCGTCTGGAGTCTCACTCTCTTTGGCATTTCAGTGACTTGGGAAACTGCTGGAAACTTACAGTAGCTAAACTCAAAGTCAATAGTAGAAGATGTACTAAAGATTTGGAAAATTTCAAAAAGGAAATTTGACAAATCTAAAGATGACAAAACTTTGGAAGACCACATCACTGGTGGCCTTTATATAACATACCAAACAACAAACTGGCTAATTGCATTTTAAGCCTGACATGACACGTGATTGCAAATTGTACAGTTATTCTGTTTTGGCATGTTGTGCAAACCCAGAAAATTGATACTGACCTCATATAAAATTCTAACTTGCATTTATTCTGCTTCTTCAATAGCTAATTTCAATAGTGTTTCTAAGGACTCGTTTTAAGGAATATATATCTGCTGGGCATTGTACAATTTTAAATTATGTTCATCAGAGATACCTATGTAATTTCATGAATGATTCATTTGAATTACTTTTCTTTCACCTTTGCAAGGCTGACCACTGATGCCTGCTTTGCACTCATTTTCTTTAATCAAGGGTACCATATTTGGACTGCAAAAATCTAGCTAACAATTAGCTAGTAGCAAACATAGAAATAGAATAATAGGGTTATAAGGGACCTTGAGGGTCATCTAATCCAATTCTTTGCCCAAGCATAGGACCCTATTCCATTCTGAACAAATGACTGACTCGTCAGTCCCTTCTGGAAAACCTCCAATAACAGTTACAGGAAACATATTCTGTACAATATTGCCATCTACAGTTAGTTTTCAACATACAACCATTTGTTTAGTAACTGAAGTTATAACTGTGTGGAAAAAATGATTTATAATTGGTCCTCCCACTTACAACCATTGCAGTCTCCTTGTGGTTACCCCATCCAAATTTGGGCCCTTAGCAAGTGGAATAAATTTTTGATGATACAGGCTCCCAGGGTAATGTGGTCATCATTTGCAATCTTTCCAGTCTGATGAAGTCATTGGAAGGAAGTGGATTTGCTTAATGACTGCACGTTTCACTTAATAATTGTGGCGATTCACTAAATAACCATGGCAAAAAAGGTTATAAAATTGGATGCAACTTAAGTAATTAAATAATTGTACTGTTAAGTAACAACTGCCTTGCTTAGCAATGAAAGGTCCACTCTCAAGTGTGATTATAAGTCGAGGACTCCCTGCAGTGGTCCTCTAAACTGTTAGATGTCAATAAACTTAGAGAGAGCTTGGGAAGAATTCCATGGCTGAGAATCCTCAAGGGGGAAACAACTCAAGAAGCTTGGGAAATTTTGAAAAATGGGATTACAAAAATGAGATAGCACAATACCAAGGAGGAAGAAAAATAACAGCTCCCAAAAGAAACCAGCATGGCTGCATAAAGAACTCTCTGACAAATTGAAAGACAAAAAAG